GCGAGCCGTACTGCCAGCAGCTCGAGGCAATTGATGTGCATGAGGCGCTGGGCCCCCGTCCAGGAGCCGGCGGCTGCATGCCCATTGCACATGGCACCCCAACCCGTGGTAGATGCATCCGTGGAGACGATGAGATGCCTGGAAACTCGCTGAATAGGGACGCCCGTCCGTAAAAAGCTGAGGTTCGACCACGGGAAGAAGGTTCGCCGGCATGCCGGAGTCACTGGGACTCGGAGCGAGCCGCGATGCCATGCCCACCTCGGGACTCGATCGCGAAGCCACAGCTGAAGCGGTCTCATATGAAGCAAACCGAGCGGCGTTGCCGCGGCCGCGGATGCCATATGCCCCAGGAGCCTCTGAAAAAGTTTCAGTGGAACCGCACTCTTGCCCTCGAACTGACGAAGACAAGTCAGCAGTGAGTGCGCGCGCTCGTTCGTGAGCTGCGCGGACATGGCGACCGAGTCTATCTCCACGGCGAGAAAAGAGATCCTCTGCACGGGGCAAAGTTTGCTCTTCTCTCGGTTGACCCGAAGGCCCAGACGGGCTAGGTGCCGGAGCACCAAGTCTCTGTGTTCGCAAAGCTGAGCTCGAGAGTGTGCTAGTATCAGCCAGTCGTCGAGATAATTCAGGATGCGAACCCCGTGTTCGCGAAGGGGAACAAGGGCTGCCTCGACGATCTTCGTGAAGACGCGAGGGGACAGAGCTAACCCGAATGGGAGAACGGCGTACTGATATGCCTGGCCCTCGAAGGCAAACCGAAGAAACGGTCTGTGTCGAGGTAAGATGGACACATGGAAGTACGCGTCCTTCAGGTCGATCGCTGCAAACCAATCCTGATACCGAACACATTCGAAAATGCGTTTGGCCGTGAGCATTTTGAACGGTAGTCGATGGAGAGAACGGTTCAAAATGCGCAGGTCCAGGATCGGTCGTAACCCACCGGTCTTCTTGGGGACAATGAAGTAGGGGCTGTAAAACCCGGACCTCACCTCGGCTGGAGGGACCGTCTCGATTGCACCCTTCGCCAGCAGGGTCGCAATCTCCGCTCTCAGGACTGGGGCATTGCCACCGACTATCGTGGAGCGAACTCCCCTGAAGCGGGGAGGAGACCGTGCGAACTGAATCGCGTAGCCGAATCTGATCGTTCTGATGACCCAGCGGGATACCCCGGGAAGCGCTAGCCAGGCTTCCAGGAAGTGAGCCAACGGGGTCATGTGAACCACAGACGTCCCCCCGGAGGGGCAGCGTGGCGGGTCGACTGGCACGCGTGCAGGAGTTACCCCGCTCGGATGCGTCGAAGCCCGCTCCCCGACAGAAGGGACCAGGGAAAGCGGAGCGTTCCACGGGGGTCCGTTCTGCCGGGGGTCTGGCGAGAGAGGGGGAAGGGATTGGTGTAGCCCGGGGACGACACACGCACCCTTCCGCGCCCTCCGAGACAGAGAGGAGTGAGTGGGCCGACACACTGGGGCATCGGGGGCACTCACTCCAGTCTGTGAGCTCAGTGAGGATGTCAAGTCTTTCTTTAACCAGTTCAGGGTGCTGCCCACCCGTGGGTGAGCAGCGGGGAGCTGAGAACAAAAGATTCTCCCCCGGCCCTCCACCGGGGGAAGGAGGGGGCCTGCTACCGCCTCCTGGGAAAGACTCGAGATCGACACTGAGCCGCCCGTGTCAGGATCTTCGCTTGGCCTGGCGTTTAGCGGGGCGAGCGGCCTGAGGGGGCTGTGACGCCGGCCTGCGGCCTCCTCGACGCCGGGGCCCGGGTGAAGGCTGCTGCTGGGGCCGGGCGGGAGGGAGGGGAGCCGCAGGGGGGCGTCCTCGGCGGCGAGCAGGGGGAGGCACCTGTGCCGACGACTGGGTGGAGGCAGCAGCTGGTCGTCGGGGCAGGATGTGTTTGATGGCCTCCGTCTGCTTCTGGGCAGTGGAGAACTGTTGGGCGAAGTCCTCGACCGCACCGCCGAAAAGGCCAACCTGGGATAGCGGAGCGTCGAGCAGACGAGTCCGCTCAGCGCTCCGCGTATCCGCCAGGTTGAGCCACAGATGACGCTCCTGAACCACGCTAGTGGCCATCACCTGACCAACGGCGCGAGCAGCCACTTTCGTTGCCCGGAGAGCAAGGTCAGTGGCGGACCACAGTTCTTTGAATGCCGTCGGATCAGTCCCGCCCTCGTGCATGTCTCTGAGCAACTTCGCTTGGAAGACCTGCAAAGTGGTCATAGCATGCAGAGCGGAGGCCGCCTGTCCCGCCGCTCTGTAGGATCGCGCCGCCATAGCAGACGAGAACCCACAGGCTTTGGATGGGTGCTTAGGAGGACCACGGGTGGAAGCGCTCTGTGGACACAGCTGCATCGCAACAGAGCGCTCCACCGGGGGCATCCCAGTGTACCCACGGGCGGCCCCGCCGTCGAGGGGGGGAAAGGCGGGGGAGAGATCGCGCTCTCGAGTGGACAAAGGAGCCCCCCAAGAGCGCGATAACTCCGCATGCAGCTCGGGGAAAAAAGGTATTGGAGTCGGCCGTGGCTTTGCAGCGGCAGCCTTGTCCAAAAACCAATTATCCATCCGTGAGAGGTCGGGGCAGGATGGAGGTTTCCATTCTAGCCCGATACTCCCAGCGGCTCGAGACAGCATGGCCGTCATCTCGGGATCTGACGCGGACAACGCTGGGACTCCCGAAGGAGGCAACGCAGCCGGATCTTCCTCTCCCGAGGAATCAAGCCCGCCTAGTGATGCTGTGATAGACATCGCATCATCATCTGGGGCGCTGCTCGAAGCAGCCGGTGCCCCCGAAGAGACAACCGACCGAGTCGAACTAGCGCCCGCTGGCTCACGCACTGAGGCGGGAGGTGTGGCCCGAGGAATCGTCGGGGCTTTATCCCACACCGTCACCGTTAGATCGCCCGGTCCCCGGGTCGACGGGCCCCCTTTCGTGAAGGAAGCCGATCGAGTAGGGGGGACCGGGGCTCTCACTCTAGTGAGATCATTGAGCCGCGACCTCAGTGTGGAGATGGTCATGGTCCCACAGAAGGAACATGAGTCATCCACGAACGCTGCTGCTGCATGCTGAATGCCCAAGCAAACAAAGCAGCGTTCGTGACCATCAGATGACGATAGAAATCTACCACATCCAGAAGGGCACGGGCGAACCATCTTTAAAAAGACGTGCCGCGTGCAGCTCTTTTACAGAGAGGAGAGAAATTCACTCTTTCAGCGCTGAGGCTACCAGGGAGAAGCGCAAAGTCTGGCAAACCACTGCACAGATCGCAGGCAATGCAGAATCTCGCTGGGTACCGCCGTCACACCAACACTGAAGAGGACGCTCGTCTCGAAGAGTCTTGAATCAGCTTTGAGGAGTGAAGAGGTTCTCTTGGCTCTGAAGCGAAAACATACTGCGGTTGCGTTCACTTCCTCCTTTTATACTCACGGAGTAGGGCGGAGTACGCTATGCAAATTTCCGCAGCCCCAAGGCATTGCATGCCATTGGCTCGTGTTTAAATACTCGAAGAGGATTGGCTTTCTATGCGAAATCCCCCAATCTCCGTCACTTCTGACGTAACTCGAAGTGACTACGAAAGGGAACTGAAGTTAAAGGTGATGATGCTGTAGTTTGTTTCAGCCTGTTGACACCAATAAAACAATTTAATGTACCAATTTACAGAAGATCTCAGACATCACCATAATGAATGAGCTGAAAACAGGGAACTTTTGGAGACAAAGAGGTTTTTCAGCAGCTCAGTTTAACATGATGGCCCTGTACTTTTTAAATGCAGATTGGATAAAAACACAGTGATCACAGTTCACACCTGCAGTGAAGCCCCTCCCACAACAATTCACCACTAAATACTGGGAATATTCCCATCATCCTACAAGAGAAGGACAAACTCCAGGAGTAGCAGCTGAAATCTGTGTGACTGTTAAAGATGGAGTTTATTAAAGAGGAGATTGAAGACGTGAGTGATTCAGAACCATCCAGAATAAAACATGAAGATACTGAGGAACAAACAGGTTGGTGTCCATTCTTGATTCTTCATTGTTGATGCTTTGGTGGCTGTGAATTGATAAGCAGTATATGGATGATAAATGATAGAGAAACGCTCATAACTAGTGATCGACCAATGCCGATATATCAGGCCGATATTTGTGGGTTTCACGTGTATCGGAATCGTCTGATATGCGGCTGCTGCATTCGCTGATAGATTTTTTCCCAGCATTATTTATAGACATTTATATATTTTAAACGGCGAACGCAGCAGACGATTCCGATACACGTGAAAACCGCAAAAATCGGCCCGATATATCGGCCAGCCAATATATCGGTCGATCACTAGCTAAGGTGTAGGCTATCCGTTCAGTATGCATTAGGGCTGTCAATGAATATTCTAAATTCGAATAGTTTAAAAAAAAAAATTTTGAAGGTGAAAATTAATATTTGAATGTGGAAAAACACATTAAATAGTTTATCTATCTACATAAATAGTTTATCTACTTGTTCTTGTTCTTCCTCACATGTTTTTACTATTTGTTAAATATTATTTTTTTAAGTTAAATAAATGTTACTTTTTATTAAATTGAGACTTGTAACATTTGTTAACATTATGTCATTTTTATGATGAAAATTGAGGGAGCAAAATGTATTGGCACCAAATATCGGCTCAAAAAAAATCGGCAGCTAGTATCGGTCATCGGCTAAAGCTGATGGGAAAAAAAATCGGTATCGGCACTAAAAAAATCCATATTGGTCTATCCCTAATCATAACCTTTAGCAGCTGTCAAACTAATTTAGCTATGTTAACAAGTGAATGAGAGAATAAGAAGTGAAAGATCTGATATCTTTTGTTTTCTTCTATTAAATAAATTCGCTTGAACTGATTCTAACTGTATTTCTGTGTATTTTACACCAGGTGAGAGTGAAAGAGCAAAGACATGAACTGAATGAAGTGGAGGAGGAACATCGTAACAAAAAGACGCACTCCTGCATTCAGTGTGGAAAGAGTTTCTCACGTAAAGTAGACCTTAACACATACATGAGAATTCACACTGGAGAGAAACCGTATACATGCACTCAGTGTGGAAAGAGTTTCAGAGATACATCAGGTCTCAGTGTTCATCTGCGCGTTCACTCTGGAGAAAAGCCATTTAACTGTGATCAGTGTGATAAAGATTTTATTTCATCATCAGGACTAAAAGGTCACCCAGAAGTTCATTCAGATGAGAAGCTTTATGTGTGTTCTCTCTGTGGAAAGAGTTTTTCATGGCTGAAGAGTTTTAAACTGCATCAACGAGTTCATACTGGAGAAAAACCTTACAAGTGCTCATATTGTGACAAGAGTTTCACTCAGTCTGGACACTTGAAAACACACGAGCGAGTTCACACTGGACAGAAGCCGTACGACTGTACTCAGTGTGGGAAGAGATTCTCACAGAAAGGAGACCTTGACAAACACATGAGAATTCACACTGGACAGGAACCGTATACATGCACTCTGTGTGGAAAGAGTTTTTCATGGCTGAACAGTTTCAAACGGCACCAGAAAACACACAATGAAGTGAGAGATCATGTGTGTTTTGACTGTTGGAAGAGCTTTATTACACCTGCTGATCTGAAACGCCACCAAAGAATTCATACTGGAGAAAAACCATACAAGTGCTCATATTGTGACAAGAGTTTCACTCGGTCTGGAAACTTGAAATCACACGAGCGAGTTCACACTGGAGAGAAGCCGTACGACTGTCCTCAGTGTGGGAAGAGTTTCACCCAATCAAGTAATTTAGTGACTCATATTAGAAAGCATTGTTCTGTGTCACAGTGAGCAAATATTTTGTTAGATTTAAATAAAGCAAATGTGTAATTAGTTATCTAATAAAGTAGTGTTGCTGTGAAATGCCGCAAGATTTGTGTTTATGTAGGAGAACAAGAAAATGATTGAAAATTATTTTAATTGAACACTAAATCGAAGAAAATTAAAAATACCAAAATGTAAAGAAACTGGAAAGAAATGCAGAAAAACAACAACAATCAAGCATAGGCTGTTCATAAATAAAAGAAAAAGATTCCTGAATTTGATTAATTTTTTAATTGTAAAACTATATATATATTTATATATATATATAACCTTGCAACTTTTTATCTCACAATTGCGAGATATAAAGTCAGAGTTGTGAGATATAAAGTCAGAATTGCGAGATATAAAGTCAGAATTGCGAGATATAAAGTCAGAAATGCGAGTTATAAAGTCAGAATTGTGAGATATAAAGTCAGAATTGCGAGATATAAAGTCAGACATGCGAGATATATTTATGCGAGATATAAAGTCAGAATTGTGAGATATAAAGTCAGAATTGCGTGTTATAAAGTCGCAATTGCGTGTTACTGTGCTTTCACACCGGATGCGAATAGCGCGTCAAATTCGCATCTACCTCATCTAGTTTGACGCTTGACCACTGTGTTAATTCGCGCGTAGTAAAAACAAAAGTTTGAAGCGAAATTTACGTGCATCAGAATCGAAACCCATTGGCGGTGTAAATAATCAAATGGGAATTTGCATATCATAATTAATAATTGATAATTAATAATTATTCATACAGATTCGGATCAGACCAGTCTTACATATTAATAAATCTCCCGATAAGGGATGGTATGTCATTTTACCTGCATGCATGCATGTGTATCTCTGCAATTAACCACAAGTTGATTGCAATTAATTACACGGACCATGTTTTACAAAATAGGTAAAATTAATTAGCTCAATTAATTTATAGAGTTAATGAAAATTAATTCTGTGCCCACAAGAATTAAGTTTCCAGCTCTAAACAAATACCCTTTAAGATATCTTTTAATTTGTAAAGCTTGTAGATTTGATCAGTCATTTCAGGGGCCGGTATTATGGAGCAGACACAGTAAATCAATCAAAATAAATATAATGTATTTAATAAGGCAGAACTACTTATACACGTTACAAGAATACTTGTATTATTTAAAAACAATAAAACATAAAAACAAACACGCGGGAAGTCTAGACGATGGAAACGCGTGTAAAATGAATGAGAGAGAGTATAGAGAGAGAGGGACAGGTTTGGTACAATTCACCTCGACAATTAACCATCTGAGCAACAACATGGAAAAAAATAATGCTTCTTAGAAGCTTCAAAGAGAGATATACTTGCAAACTTTTGGCCTCTCAGTGTTTTGCTGCGTTCCTTGAGCGGCCTGTCCCGGCCGCGTGCATAAGCAGATGGTTCTTTGTTCCATGAGGTGTCACGTGGCGCTCACCACGTTTTTGAGGTAACGTTACCAAAAAAATAGTTTGGCTAGTTTATGTCACTTCATAGAAGTGACACCGAGTCGAGTCCAGAGAAACAAACTTTAGACTAGAAAGAAAAGATCCAGGATCGGATCCGGTCTCTGTGAGGAGACACACGAGGATTACATGTTGTCGACGCGATGGAAAATCCAGAGAGAGAGGCGGAGTGGCGCGCTCTGACATTTATCACCTTGGAGAAATCCGTCCTCTTCCTGCTCGCTTGGCCAAGAGTGGGGGAGTCGCACGCGGGAGCTTGCTTTTATCGCTCTTTGTCTAGAACGTGCACCCTATGGAAGGAGTTTAAAGTCTACACAGTTTGATCTTCAATGATGGTAAAACATATAAAAATACACTTTACTTTATATCTCTGCATATTCGGGTAGTCCATCCCGCGAGCATTTTGGAGGTATCAAAAACCTTTATATGAAAGTCAAAGGAATATACAGTGATGTTTAAATTGCATTAAAGCAAGGGTATACGATTTGAAAGATTGTTCATTATTAATATCCTCGTTTATATGCTGGTTATGGTTATATAGTACAATCCTAACAATATGAATAGAAAAAAGAATGAAAAAAATCCATTCACTCTATTGGCTGTACAGCCGCAGTGAAGTTGACCAATGTAAGCTGCCGGCCGGACAGCTTACATTGGTCAAAAGCTCATCCAATCACCAACTCCACTTGAAACTCCGCCTGGCGCTCGTGTCTCCAACCGCACCCGCCCCCGCCCCCCTCCCTGCACGAGCAAACAGCTGACAGACAGTGTATGGTAGCTAGCTAATTAGCGTCAGATCAGCAATGGATAAAAATATAAACAACAGCAGCAAGCGGCCCCTGCTTGCCCCTACTGTTAAGTTTGAAAGTATGTAGAGGAAAAAGCAGAGACAAAAAAAAAAATGTAACGCCGGACTCTAAGTAGGATAAATATAGGGTCCACTTTGACCATTGGAGGAAGCTTCAGGGAGATCTGGGACTCAAAACCGATGCTGACACGGGCACGGCTGACTTTTTGTTGAGCAGGTAAACATGTATTTATACTTTTATGGTGTGATATGTTACATAAATAGCTTTTTATCAGTTTGACAACTTGGTCATGCTGCCGGTCGGCATTGGAATGTTAGCCGTTTAGCATTGCCGATCACGGGTCAAAGTAATTATATTTCTTGAAGTGCTTGAATATATTTCAGTATGCCTAGCGGGTTTCTGTTCGAGCCGATCGGAATTTGAACAAGATGTGCTTTGTGCTGCCGTAACAATTACTCAAAACCTTAGCAATACTAGTAGTATTATAATGGTGGTGGGGAGCTTAGAACATTTCATGTGTTGCTAATCTTGTGTTGACGTAAACCCAGGAAAAAAAAACTCTGCACTCAACTGGATAGTCGGTAATCCTACAACTAATCAGAGCAACGCAGTAACTCAACAACTTTGCATAGCGCAGTTTTCAACTACAGAACTTACTTATTTTAGAAGTTAAATAACGAGTGTTGCTTCTTTTACTTACTCCTCCATGAGTGCGACCAAAGGAGAAACCACAACGACCTCATGCTTTTCATTAAGTCCTATCTTCTTAACGACCGTCAGAGCCAGCTGATAAGTTACACTTTTGCCGAATCATGTAAGAAGGACGGCTAAAATATCTTTCCGATCGACAAATGCCTTGATTGCAGTTCTCTGTTTGTCTATTAAAATTAATGCACTGTCGATTTATTTCACAAGAGACGCGACAGCGTAATCTATACATCTCAATTCTCCAGCTGCAGTCATCTCTAAGGGAATTCAGGGAAATCAGTTAAGCGCTCTTTGATAACGTGATGATTACGTCCTTGCAGATCATCTGTCAATCATCGTATAAAGCCCGCCCTGGTAATTTGATTGGCCCGAACGTTTCTTGTCTGATCATAATTACTCCTCAATGGATCGAGTCCAGACCGAACTTCCCGTCCAAAAAATGTTGTGGGCGGAGTTCGGGCTGGCATCCAGGCTAGCAATTGCCTTTTTTATCTTTCATTCTTTGGCGAAAACAAGCTTCCATAGAAAAATTACGCTCAGACGCGCAGACACACTCTGTCTCTCTTGCACACTGTCTGAAGCTCATGGAGGCACGTGATCAGACAGTGGTTTACGGAGCGCTAGATTGGCTTTGTAAAAAAATTAAAAAAACTTTGATATACGGAGCGTTCTGTGAATGGAATGACACATTTGAAATATCGCTCGATCACGCGAATTTAATCGTGGGAAGCCAAAATCGTAATCGTGATTAAAATTTGATTAATCGCGCAGCCCTACTTTTAAGCGTTTTCAGTTAATTGGACTCTTATTAAAAGTGATTCAAACTTTTGTTTACACTGTGTTGTTGTTGTGTGTGTGATAGCTAGCTGCATTGACCCTGCCCTTGATAAAACACAGTGGATCAACACCAGCAGCTGACATGGCACTCCAGACCATCACTGACTGTGGGTATTTGACACTGGACTTCAGGCATTCTGGCATTTCCTTCTCCCCAGTCTTCCTCTAGACTCTGGCACCTTGATTTCTGAATGACATGCAACCACTGAGCAACAGTCCAGTGCTGCTTCTCTGTAGCCTAGGTCAGGCGCTTCTGCCGCTGTTTCTGGTTCAAAAGTGGCTTGACCTGGGGAATGCAGCACCTGTAGCCCATTTCCTGCACACGCCTGTGCACGGTGGCTCTGGATGTTTCTACTCCAGACTCAGTCCACTGCTTCCGCAGGTCCCCCAAGCTCTGGAATCGGTCCTTCTCCACAATCTTCCTCAGGGTCCGGTCACCTCTTCCCGTTGTGCAGTGTTTTTTTGGCACACTTTTTCCTGCCCACAGACTTCCCTCTGAGGTTCCTTGATAGAGCACTTGCCTTGATAATCCCTCAGGTTGTGTTCGGGTCATTTCGACCTGGTAAAAATTTTAATTTAATAATGTTAACGCATTGAACTGAAACTTAGTGGCTTTGTTCACAATCTCAAATGTTCTCAAATGTTTTTGAGGAAAATTGAAATGAAATGAAAATTTGACCATTTTCTTAGGGGAGAGCGGGGCGTAACGAGGGGCTAGTTCCACACATGCCATCATGGGGTTCAGGTCAGTAGTGGATGTTGGAGCTTTTGGACGGAACAGTGACGGAGGCATATATATATATACAGTACATTATCTATTTTATATATTTATTAGGGCTGTCAAAATTAGCGCGTTAATAACGCATTAACTCAAATTAATTTTAACGGCACTCATTTTTTTAACGCGCGATTAACGCAGCACGCATTATCTGTTTGACCCGTGGCCTAGCCCGTAGTTGGAGAGTTAGAGATGCACGTAAAGAGATAGACATAAAGAATTCTCCAGCAAACAGAAATGGATCCAATGCATCCATATTTGTCCACCATGTTGATTAATGTATTCAAAACTTTTACAAAAGTATTAATTTAAGGTACATTTAGAACTGAATGTGTGATTAATCGCGAGTTAACTCATGACAATCATGCAATTAATCGCGATTAAATATTTGAATCGATTGACAACCCTAATATAAATATATACAATATTAATGTATCAAGTTGTTATAGATAGGCAATAGGGGCGGCGGACCTTTAATTTGACGCGCTGAGAACGCCAGAGCCTGAGCACATAGTGCTCGCATTCTCCGTGTTTATTTGTTTACGATCTGTTTAATCTAGACCTGTCTATACAACTCAACTGTTATACATAGAACGTATGCACATCCCGAAGTTAAAATTGAGTTCTTGACTACTTTACACAGGGCAGAGTTTTCTGATCTAAATTCTTGATTTTATATAGATATTATAAATAGAACTGAGCTCATGATTCGTGTTTTGATTTAGATGTTATACGTTATATTTGTTCCTTAGTGTCAGCTTTAATGTTGAAATAAATGATTATTCTATAAAAGAACTCATGATTCTCAGTGCTCAGTTTCTCACATTCTCACGATGAGTTCATGATTCATGTTTTGATTTAGATATAGATGTTATATGTATATAAATATATCATTGTTCATTAGGGTCAGTGTTTAAATAAATGTTTTATTCTGAAAAATGAACTGAGTTCATGATTCGTGTTTTGATTTAGATGATTTAGATGTTTTATATGTATATATAATATTTGTTCCTTAGTGTCAGCTGTAATGTATGTCAGCTGAATAAATGTTTTATTCTAAAAAATAACTGAGTTCTTGATTCGTGTTTTGATTCAGACATTGCAGTTTTAAATAAGTGAGTGGCTCTTAAAAGAGCCTTTGTTTTATTTTGAAGATGAAAAGCAGCAGCAGGCGAGGGGTGCAGAGACGACAGGTGAGCACATCAGACTATATTGTGTGTGTTGCCAGGGCACTTCACCAGCGGCAGAGGAAAAGTAGCTGTTGAAGGACTCTCGTACAGCTATGGCCTCTTGGGTGGAGTTGTTGGTGCCTACTCTCCTTACACGTGTAAGTGCAGGGATGTGATGTTCTTCCTGTGGGACCAGAGCTTCTACTGTGGTGTTCCACCTCTGGAAATTATGAAGGACCACTGTTGCTTTCACAATAGCATCCACATTTGCAGCGTTCACTCCAAACACCCGGTGGTAGATTCTCCATTGTGCAGCAAGAATCCCAAAGGCATTGTCGACTACTCTTCTGGCTCGTGAAAGGCGGTAGTTGAAGATCCTCTTTTGTTGGGAGAGGTTTCTTCCAGGATAAGGCCTCAGCACATTCCTCCTTGTAAAAAAAGTGAGAATAAAAAAATGCATTTATAGATACAGGCTACTTTTGAATATAAACCAATAATAAAACATTTAAAATGTAATAAATAAATGCATATATATGAAGAGTTCAGATGCAAAAGCCTCTAAATGCCATTTGAAATTTTCTTCTAAAATGACCATTTTTATCAAGCTTGTATTTTTAAGTTCAGTAATTTCACTTAAAGGGATACTCCACCGGGTTTTCATATTAAACTATGTTATTCCCTTAATTAAGACGAGCTGATGCATACCTCTCTCGTCTCAGTGCGTGCACTCTATCGCTCTGTATTGCCGCAAAACTATGTTAGCACTTAGCTTAGCCCAGTGCATTAAATATGGGCCAGAAAGAGAAGTGACAAAACACTTCCTCGTTTTTCCTATTTAAACACAGTTACTCGATTAGTGTAACTCGACCTAGACTGGTGACACAAAATAAAACGTTGTGTTTTTCTAAGCGTTTAAAATTGATGACTATATTGTATGGCGGAATACCATAAAAAAGTGATAGAGCACTTCAACTTGGCGCAATAATACCTTCACTCGTGAAAAGTCCTCTTACCGGCCCCCGCTTTGTCGCATGTAACGTTGGCTGCATTGACGGAAATAAGAGGGAGGGGGAGAGCGAGGAAGCGGGAGCCGGTAAGAGGACTTTTCACGAGTGAAGGTATTATTGCGCCAAGTTGAAGTGCTCTATCACTTTTTTATGGTATTCCGCCATACAATATAGTCATCAATTTTAAACGCTTAGAAAAACACAACGTTTTATTTTGTGTCACCAGTCTAGGTCGAGTTACACTAATCGAGTAACTGTGTTTAAATAGGGAAAACGAGGAAGTGTTTTGTCACTTCTCTTTCTGGCCCATATTTAATGCACTGGGCTAAGCTAAGTGCTAACATAGATTTGCGGCAATACAGAGCGATAGAGGTATGCATCAGCTCGTCTTAATTAAGGGAATAACATAGTTTAATATGAAAACCCGGTGGAGTATCCCTTTAAATGACAATAAATAGGTAATCTTAATTGACATTTAAGTGAAATTACTGAACTTAAAATATACAAGCTTGATAAAAATGATCATTTTAGAAGAAAATTTCAAATGGCATTTAGAGGCTTTTGCATCTGAACTCTTCATATATATATATATATATATATATATACAGTATATGGGCTGTGCAAAGATTAATTGCCGATTAATCGCACCCATAATAAGAGTTTGTGTTTGCATAATATATTTGTGTGTGCAGTGTATAATTATTTTGTGTAAATAATTATACACTGGTTATACACTAATTATATAAAATAGATAAATATTAGTGCTGTCAAACGATTAAAATATTTAATCGCGATTAATCGCATTAATGTCATAGTTAACTCGCGATTAATCGCACATTTTTATCTATTCTAAATGTCTTTTGATTTCTTTTTGTTACATTATTTTTTTTCTCATTTTAATGCTCTTATCAACATGGAAAAGTGGATTGGCTTGTTTAGTGCAAATGTTTTTTTAATTATTATTATTATTGAAAATAAAATTGGAATAGTGCTCAATTTCACACTAATATATAATCTCTCACACAATGTAACACTGTCTATCAATAAAAGAGTGAAAGAAATACTGACGAGGTCCTGATATTGACGAGGGGGTGGAGAATTCACATCATCTGTGTGTCTGTGTGTTTGCTTGGCCATCATCAATCGGTATTTGACTGGACGTGCTGCGATGATGATCGCTCAGTTCACAACGACAAAACACACAGATCACTTGGTCTTGTCAATGGGATAATTTGGCAACTTTTTAAAAGTAAATTTTCCGTTCAGAATTTTTGGGCATCCATTTCGGCGTCTTGCGCTCGTCATCCAATCAAAACTATTTGGCCGGCTCGCAAGCCGAAACGAGTGTGTGCGGCACAAAACGTCCTCACGCTACGCTCTAAACCCTTTCATTTCAATGGATTGCACTGCGCAAGGAGGTTTTGTTGCTTCTTCGACCAAAGCGCAAGCGGATCTAGACCGTAAACAAAACAACAGGCACGCCGCAAACACACGTTTCGGCTTGTGAGCCGGCTTTGAGTGGATGACGAGCGCGAGACGCCAAAATGGATCAGGACGCATGCCGCGTCCTGTTGCAAAAGCATGAAAAAACTACAAATTTTGCTAGGACAAAAAGACCGTTAATCGCACGATAAAAAAATTAACACCGTTAAAATGGGTTTGCGTTAACGCCGTTAATAACGTGTTAAACTGACAGCCCTAGTAATTATACAATAACAATGACAGATTAAAATAAAGTGTAACAGAGTTACTTTAATCTGCACTTGCAGTTTGTGGAACTTTTTTCAGCAATGTGTAATATTCAGTGCCGGCGAACCCCAGAAACCTCAGTAGGGAACTTGGCCAATTCACCACAGCCTTAAGTTTCTCAGGATCCATGCGCATTCCCTCAACCGAGATGATGTGTCCTGGGAAAGGAACAGGCAGTGCATGAAAAACGCATTTCTCTGCCTTGACAAAAAGCCCATTCTCTAGCAGCCTCTGAAGCACTTGTTGGACGTGTTGCACATGTTCCTGGAGAGACGAGGAAAATATCAATATATCATCCAGTTAGACATATATGAATTGATCGACCATGTCTCACAAAACGTCACTGACAAGTGCTTGGAAGACTGCTGGGGAGTTGGAAAGGCCGAACGGCATGACCAAATATTCAAAGTTCCCCCTAGGGGTGTTAAAAGCGGTCTACCACCCCCGTCCCTTATGCGGACCAAATGATAAGCATTCCGTAAATCCAATTTCGTGAAGATAGATGCTCCTTGTAACCTTTCGAAAGCTGAAGACATCAACGGCAAAGATAAGTATTCTTTACCATGATGCTGTTCAACCCCCGGTAATCAATACAAGGTCGTAACGATCCATCTTTCTTCCCCACAAAAAAGAAGCTCGCCCCCGCTGGAGAAGAGGAAGGGTGGACGAACCCCATTGCTAGAGAATAAGATATGTATTTCTCCATGACCTCTCTCTCTGGGACAGAGAGTGAATATAATTTGCCCTTAGGCGGAGACGTACCTGGCAGTAACTCTATGGCACAGTCAAAGGGATGATGCAGAGGAAGAGAATCAGCCCAAGACTTACTGAACACCTCCTTCAGATCCCAGTACCTCGTGGGCACGTTAGAAAAATCCACTGTCTGCTCCTGAAACAAAGGAACAGAAACAGACGGACAGGCAGACACAAGACAGGACTTATGACAAAAACTGCTCCACGCTGCCACCGATTTGAGCTACCAGTCTGTTTTGGGGTTGTTACGAGTGAGCCATGGGTGACCAAGAACGATGGGTGCAAGCGGAGTGTCCAGAATGTAAAAGCAGATGGTTTTAGTATGATTGCCAGACGTGATGAGGGTGATGTCTTCAGTGATCAGTGAAATGGTGGGGAGTCTTGACCATTGAGGGCGTGTACATCTGGTGTGGAAGGGGTTTGAGGGGAACTTGAAATCTTTGTGCAAATGAGTGATCCTCTCAGCTGCCAGGGTTTGAAATTCGATCGGAAAGTCAGATACGGACCTTTCTCCTTCCTTGCCGTAATTCCGCCAGCACCCTAGCAGCCTTTCTCCCCGTGACGACCCGGTCAAAGACGCCGCATCTCTTTGGAGAGCCTTTGGAACGAGGAAGAGCATTCGTCTTGGCACACGGTAGACGGCAAGGAAAAGAAACTTTTCTGACATGGAGCCGAAATGACCTACCACAATGCATTATTTTACAGCACGTTCATTCACATGAATAATTGCATGACAATTTGTAATATTCTTCTTCTTATTATGATTTGTGTTAATGACGCTTATTGTTATTTTGAAGAAGGATGTCGTTATTATTATTATCATTTAACCCTCTGGTGCTCTTCAGTCATTTCTGACCGAAAAATTTTCTGTTTTGAAATTTTAAAAATCACAGCTTCATCAGAATATTACAAAACTTGGTGACTTTTATGGCATTGTTTATGTGAAGCAAAAAAAAATTGAGGTCATGATCCGAGCAGGCTAAGTGATCGTAAAAAAATAGTCACACTCTAGTGCTCTTCGGTCAAAAATGACCGACCATAGGAAATGAATGGGAAATTGACGAAAACACAAAAAATGTGAGAATTTTTGTGTACAATCTACAAATCGGCCACGATGCAGTAAAAAAGTGCTCAGAATTGAAGGGGTGACACTCTAAAATATCAAGAGTGCAAAACAGACATACCCACCCCTACACACACACACACACACACACACACACTTTTATACACTAAAACACCAATAAATTGTGATTAAAGAAATCTGTTTTGAATATTTAAAAATCACAGCTTCTTCAGAAAATTACGAAACTTGGTGACTTTTATGGCATTGGGTATGTGAACACACAAAAATTTAAGTGGTCATAAAAAAATGAGTCACACTTTTGCTCTTCTGTCAAAAATGACCGACCCATAGGAAATGAATGGGTAATTGACAAAAAAAAAATTCTCAGAATTTTTGTATGTACAATCTACAAATCGGCCACAATTCTAAAGAAATAAAGTACACCGCAAGAAAGGGGTGACACTCTACAACATCTAGAGTGCAAAACAGACACACCCACCAACACACACACACATACAAACACACTTTTATACACATACACACCAATAAATTTTGATTACAAAAAGTATGTTTTGAATTTTTAAAAATCACAGCTTCATCGCAATGTTACGAAACTTCGTGACTTCTATGGCATTATGTATGTGAACACACAGAAAAATTGAGGTCATGATCTGAGCATGCTAAGTGGTCATAAAAAAATAGTCACACTTGTGGTCTTTGGTC